TTCTTTAGGAAGTTGATCCTATCATAAAACAATATTGTACCTTCCCTTGGTGAAGAAAACTTAGGTGACAACCTTATCTCATATGTAATTTTTTAGACAGATGTGCAGTAACTGTACTGGGCAAATAAATTGTCTTATCAAATGGATTGAGTATTTGAGATAATAGCTGTATTTTCAAGGAATTAATAAGCAAAAATTTAAATTCCTACCTAAAAAATACAAAAATGAGTCTAATTCACTAAAGACATCTGGAAATTTTGTTCCTAGCCACCTTTTAACAGCACTCAGCCACAATAGGATGCTGTACTGTTCTCCTAAATGATGCACAAGCTCTGAGGTTACTGGGCAGATCCCTTTAAATTCTCTTGGAATGTATATTAGCGGATAAATAAGACAACTCTGGAGTGCCATACTGCTATTCCTAAAGAACGGTCATCACTCTTCTAAAGTTTAATAAAAACACATTAGAGAAAAACCCCCACATTTAATTTATATACCTCTTTCTACTGAGGAAAATAGTGTGAAATGTGAATGGGAGGAAAAAAATAATTTTTTCCCTACTGTCAGCATATTCCCACTGCAGTATAACACGTAGATATGATGGGGAGCTAAATACCTTGTACAACACAGTAGGTGCACTGTGGGCAGATGGTAACACAAAGCTACTGAGTCAAGAACTGCTTCTTGGAATGTGATCATACCACTGTTCCTTCTCAAACTGTTTTTAAACTCTGACCACAAGATTTTTAGCAAAACTGTTTTGGTCTAGCACTTCATGAAGACTTTAATTTGAAGCAAATGCCATGGTGATTTTTAGGAACAGCAACCTTAATCTCTTCTCCCATCTGTGGTCCTCAAACCTCAGTTAGGACAGCTGAGCGTAGTGCATATATACTCTTTCATCAAGCCTCTGTGGTGGCACAGTCTCCCCATTCATTTTGGAATTGTCTGTTGATTTTTTATTTTTTACTTTTTGCTTTCTTTAAAGCCTTATGTGTAGTATGGCAAGGTGTTTGTGAAATTTATAAGGGCTTTTCTTATTTTGCAAATTAAAAAAAGGCTGCAGAATGGAAACACATCCTGGAGTTCTGAGACATTTAATTCTATAATCTTTGGAATAGAGGAAATGTGAAGAACATAATGTAAAAATACATTTAATAACTTTCGAAATCCAAAGGTAATTTAATATTTTTTAATAAAAAAAATAAACAACAATCTTATGATGTTTCACGGCTCTAATTTTCAAGACCAAAATGTACTACTTTTACGTTTCTTGATTGTTCCTTGCTTACTTGCATCTGTATGTGAAAAATATGTGCACATCTTCTGCTCCAATATGCCATTCTGATATCTTGCAGAACTTTAGCCCATGAATCACAGCCTGAAAAACACTATGGTAAAGCAGAAATAAGCCTAACCGAAGTATAAAACACTGTCCCACTACCTGCAGATATTTGGCACTTTTTTATTTGATGTTTTCACTGGAACTCTCACATTCATGCATTCCTGTGTTGCATTCTCTAAACCTTGTGAGAAGGCACTGAAACAACTCAAGAGATTTCACCTACCTTTCTGACCTTGTCTAACAATTTCTGAAAACTTTGAGAAAGTATTTTAGTCAAATCATGTCTCAGACTTATTACTGTAGAATGAAATTGTGACGATAAATAATTTGAAACTTTTTAACTTTTTCTTTTTCCTTTTTTTATTATGAGGTAGGAGGATTCAAATATTCTTTGTACTCTTTTGAGTCTTTTGAGGAACATTCTGAATATTCTTCTAGTAGTGAGGATGTAAGTTGCATATCTTGTGGAATTCATGAATACATAAAGCTATCCTGAAAGAATAACCATTTATGAAATGGCTATTCTCCATTTATTCTTGAGTTTCACAAAACTGAAAACTTTCTGAAAATTTTCAAGGTCATTCTAGGTAATTTTATGACATGCTGGTTTCGAAGAATTTACACTGTAGTTTGATCACTACTTCTTCAGATGTTCTTGTCAAGCCACTTTCAAGATGTGATACCTTTTAACCTATTGCTAAATTATGTTTCCAACTTCTTATATACTGTAGTACACTATATACTGCATATTTACTAATACTTAAAAGTAGCATTTGAGTTCTTTTAACAGCTGTAACTGTAGTGCATACACAGATTTGATTGCCCATTTCATTTAAGATTAGAGATCTTTTTAAGTAAAAGATACACAGGCCTCTCTTTGGTAAAGAACCAATCATGATTATCAAATTTAAAATAATTCTTAAAGCATGTTTGAGAGTTGCAGTCAGCATATTCCAGGAATATTCTTACTACCTATTACAGTGAAGAATGATGCCGAGAAACCCATTCCATGCTTTTTGATCATGCCCCTGTACTCGGCACTGGTGAGGCTGCACCTCTAATCCCATGTTCAGTTTTGGGTCTGTCACTGTAAGACAGACATTGAGGTGCTGGAGTGTGTTCAGAGAAAGATAACAGAGCTGGTGAAGGGCCTGGAGCACAGTGATGAGAGGCTGCCGAGGGAGCTGGGCTTGTTTGTCCTGGATAAAAGGAGGTTCAGGAGAGACCTCATTGCTCTCTACAACTACCTGAAAGGAAGCTGTAGACAGGTGGAGGGGTCTCTTCTCCCAAGTAACAAGCAATAGGGCAAGGTGAAGCAGCCTTAAGTTGTACCAGGGGAGGTTTAGATTGAATATTAGGAAATTTTTTTCAGTGAAAGGGTTGTCAAGGGTTGTCAAGCATAGGAACAGGCTGCCCAGTGAAGCATGGAGTCACTGTCTCTGGAGGTATTTAAAAGATCCATAGATGTGGCACTTAGGGACATGGTTTAGCAGTGGACCTGGCAGTGTTAGGTTAACAGTGTTAGGCTGACAGACGAACTCAATGATCTTAAAGGTCTTTTCCAACCTAAAAGATTCTATGATTCTGTGATTGTTTGGTCAATATGATCTAGACAAACCACTGACTATATAGGGAACAAGTGAGAAAAGTTGTGGCCACTCCAAGTTTGGTTAATACTTGAAGAATTTCCAGCTGTAGCTGTATCAACACAAATGCATATAGATTGGCTAAAAAAGCCCCATCTCTTTAGTGTATGGAAATGTAACACGAAAAAGTCTCCGCCCTGATAGTTTATTGGCAGAACTTTATGATTTTTTTAGCAAGAAGTAGGACTGACAAATTGAAACTGTTCCTTTTGCTTAAATCTGAACTGATTATTCTGGCTCAACAAAGAAAAATCAGAGGCAGAACAAGGGCCACGTTTTATTCTTCCTGCAAGAAAGATATTCTTTTTTTGACCAAACTTTTATATAGAATAGCAGAATTTACTTAGATCTCCATGGCCTCATCGTTAATACTGTTTGCAGAATGACATCCTGAAGCTCAGCTTTTCACTGATGTTCTACAAATTTTGTTTTGGAACTTGAAGCCTACATTCTATTAAATTTAAATGTGATTTATGTATCGAAATGTAATATTTAGTAAATTTCTCATTTTATTTTCTCTATCTGAATCTTAGAATGGTTTCATGATCCCAATAATTCAACACTAAAGAGAATGGTGCTTCAACTGAAATGCTACCACATGTGAGTGTTCACTTCTTTCAAACACATTTTTGGTCTTTCCTATGAGCAATAATACCCTAGAACATTCAGAACAGTTCAATTCTTGAACATCTGCAGGACTACCTGGTATTTCTAAATACATTTCTATTATTCTTAATTTAGACGAGGTTTTTTAAGGAAATCTATATAAGTACTGTCATGATGACCATACTATGGAATTACACTTCTTTGTTTTAAGCTATTTAGTACTTCTAAAATTGCAGCATGTGAAGATGGTGGCTATGAAAACATAATACCATTTTAAAGATTTAAAACACCCAGCAAATTAACAAAACAAAACCACTGTCCTTTCATTTTTCTGCCTCATCGCCTAAATTCCCTGTTTTGGCATGCCTTTAATTTTCTATGCCTGTCTCCCACTTCACAGCTTGGCAGAAGCAAGTATAGGTGTGAAGACATTTGTACCTGACAATAAAAGAAGGAGGTGTAGATGTGGCACTTAGGGACATGGTTTAGTGGTGAACTTGGCAGTGTTTAATGTTGGAACTAGATGATTTTAAAGGTCTTTTCCAACCTGAGTGATTCTATGATTCTATGTAGTGATACCAGGTGACAAATAGGTCAGCCCTGCTCCAAGAAGCAAAATTCTATGATTTGACTGGGACTGGGGTGGCTGGAGGGGTTGGGTTTGGCCAGGGCATCAGTCACACGGGAGGAAGAATCACTTCATGACCTTGGTCCTTGGAAAGCCAGTGGCCTGTTTTTTGACCTGAACAGGGGTTATTGCCACACAGTAAGTGACTCCACCACCTTGGAGTGGAGTCACCACGCCAAGGTGGTGGAGTCATCGTTGCTGAAGGTGTTTAAGGAAAGACTGGACATGACAGTGCTAAGTTCTAGTTGACGTGGTGGTGTTCAGTCATAGCTTAGACTTGATGATCTGAGATCTTTTCCAAGCCAATTGATCCTGTGATTCTGTGGTATCAAAGTCCTTCTTAAAATCATTGTGAATTAAAACACCGTGTTTCCTTATAAGTTTCAAAAAATTTCCACTGAGAGGGTTGTAAAGCACTGGAACAAGCTGGGCAGGGCAGTAACCGAGTCATCATCCCTGGGAGTGTTCAGCGAATGTGTGGATGTGGCACTTGGGGACATGGTTCAGTGGTGAACATGGTGGTGGTTCTGGGTCGACGGTTAGACTTTTCCAACCCAAACAATTCTGATTCTAAAAGACCTAAGCCCTTGGCCCATCGCGGGCGCTGTTCCTGCTGGGAAGTGTAGTCCATGATCTCTTCGGGCGGCCATGGAAGGGGCCGTTTCGGACTACACTTCCCAGCAGGTATCGCGTCCAGGGCGGGGCGAGGGCTGGCGGCCGCCCGGGGCGGACCAATGGTGACGGTCGATGCTGGGAGGTGGCGGTGGGCCGGGCGGGCCGGCGGGACCGCGGGCAGTGCGGGAATTTCGGACCGGGAGGAGGGAGCGGCGCCGGGCTCGGCGCGCGGGAGATACTTGGGACCGGCGGCTGCTTCTGCGGTGTAGGTTGTTTTTTTTTTTTTTAAGAGGCGAGTTTTAGGGCGCTGTTTCGCTTCCCCTTTGCCTTGCCGATCGTCTCCCGCCCTGCTGGCGGGTCTTCCCGCGTCCCTGGCTGAGGAGGCCGGTGGTGCCGCCGGGGCCGCGCCCTGTTCCTCCTCCTCGTCTGCCTCCTGGGGTAGGGAAGGCGCCTGCCTTTCCCTCCCCAGCCCGTGGCGCCGGAGGATCTCCGTGGGCCGGCAGGGAGGGAGAGAAGGGGGGCAGGTGGGGCAGAGCTCCCTCGGTTTCACCCTTGGGGTCTCCTGCCCCCCCTTCCCGTGCCCGGGTTATGGGCTCTAAACCTGCCTGCGGTCGCACCGGTCTAAGTTGCTTTCCTTCCTGTTTGTTTGGTTTTTTAGCCCTAAGGCGAGGTGGGGAAGGCTGAGCACGAGCTGTGCTCAGTGACACTTGAAGGTTCGTCACCTTCGGAATCATCCCGGTGAGGCATCACCTTGGCTGGGAGACGTTTCCTGAGTTGTGCTTTGAACATAAATTGTTTATTTATTTTTTTAAATACAGGCCTACAAATAACAAAAATCTGCGATTTTAGGATCAGGACAGGCCTGTTGTGTAAGAATTGGGCTAAGCTGGTTTCTGTCTGTCAGTGGTCTTGGTTTCTCTTCGTTTCCTATTTTCTGGCCATTTGCCTGCCTTGTTTAAGATTGAAGCAGTCACAGGCAGGGTGAACCCCGTTGTTCTCTTTGTTTCTCGATTCGTGCTCAAGAACTAATAAAATAAAAATAAAAGCTTTTGTTAATTCATAGGGAATCCATGGGCCCTTTTTATCACTAACAAAAATACCAAAGCTGTTGTGAAGCTTCCTGTAACTATTACTGTGTCAAAAGGCATGTGCCTTCCTCTGTAGGAATAAGATGTCCACTTAATTCTTGGGGATAATCCCTAAGTGAGGTAAGATTCCTAATGAATTTCAGAGCTATTGATCTTTATACAGTGGGCCAAATGATCAAAAAGCCTTTAAGTGTCTCACTCACATGTATTAGGTATTTGCAGTTGGTTTGGTGGTGAGGTGATTTGAAGTGACAGATGAGTTGATACCTTACAAGGCTCAGTGGTTTTTATTGCAATAACTGAGTAACGTTCAGGATTTTGAGAACAACCTTAAATAGTGTTCATAAGAAGGCAATTTAAAATTAGTATCACAATAATTCCTCTTGTAAATTACTATTTCCTACGTCTGAACAAGCTGCATTCTAGAATTCTAAGCCATCTTGGTTTGTTTAGAAAAAGAAAGGAAAAAAGGTGTTTATTTGTTCCAGTGTGCTGCTGTTGTGATGAAATGCTTCTCAGTAATAGTGGTCCACCAGTTGCATTTATTCATTTTGTCTAAAGAGACATTTTTTTTTATTTCTCGGGCATAGAACCCTAATGCCTCTTCTTCCCTAAGTGCCATTAATTGTCAGATGTCTTAATCATAAAGAAATTAGATTATAGAGGTTTTCACAGGAGAAACCCAGTGATAGACCAGTCACAGAATGCCTGATTTATGCAAGAAAGTCTTTTTTCACTGTCTCCCTCACTTGGTGTGACAAGCCACTGACACTTCAGTTATTGTTTTGTGTGGTCCCTCCTGTGAAACAGTTCTACAGTATTCAGAAGCCTTAAACTGTTGTGTTCTTTCTTTCCCACTCCTTGAGCAAAAATTTGGTTTTGTTTTCTCCTTGTCTTATTTTTTTTTTCGAAGCAGACTTAAATTTCTTGCAATGACTGATGAACAGTGTTAATGACAGATAGATTTCAAGGCCTTGCTGTGGGACTACCTACTCTTGAAGAGGAGCACAAGTCCCCAGCATGCCTTCTCTGGGCTGAGAATGAAAATAGGTTCTACTAAGATAAACAACTGTAAAAATGACAATTTCCAGAGAATAAAAGAGGAGGATGAGGAAGAAACCAGTCTGACTTGACACACAGCAGAAACACTTATTTCAAAATAAATTTGTTTTACATTCATTTCAGAGATTTATTGATAATGGATGCCAGCAAGAATTGAGAAGTGGCTATTCATATTTATTCAAAGAGTTCAAGTATCTCTCAAGTAGCAACCATTGCAGACAGCATTTGTAAAGATAACACCACTGATATGCAGACAATTTTGTATCAATAGTGCTATCTCAAGTACAGTGTATTCTGTTTCTTCCAAGATGTTTTATTAGGGAGAAGAATAAGAACCTTTGTAGTAGTAAGAGGCTTTTGGAGAGAGTTTACACAAATAGAGTTCTGTTATTCACACTTCTTAGTAGCAAAATCTTTGTTTTGAGCACATTGTAGCCACATAAAATGCTGCTGTTTACAATCACGTACCTTGAAAATTGTTCTTGTCAGGCACCTTAGCTAAGTAGGGGCAGGTCTGATACTTGAATGATAGCACAGTACTTGACATCCATGGCACTGTTTCCAAGGACTTTACCATGATTGCAGGCACTAATGAATCAAGCTTCACAATACCTGTGGGATAGAAGATATTTCTGTTTATTGATGGGAAGAAGTAATTGAGATGCGGAAAAGTTTAAGATGTTTTTTTCTTTTCTTGGAGGAGTGGCGGTGGTGAATTTTTAAAGGTGATTTTAGGGAGAAGTAGATAACTTTATTCCAGTTGAGCAATCTGTGGTAGGCAGCTCTGTGTAATGTTTGTTGGTTCATAAGTTTCCTGACAAACCCCCCATGTTTGCTGTATTGTGAATTGAAAAGCACATAGAATGATAGAATTTGCATTAAAATGTCATTATCTTTTTTTGTGATTTTTATATTTTTTTTCCTAGCTCTGTATTTTCACATAGCAAATTTTTGCAGTTTCCAGGTGTCTTTGGTTTCAAGCAGCAGAGGATACATGAATGCATTTATCCGAAGAAATGTGAAAGCATGTGCAGCCATTGCTAAAATGTTTCCTTGGATAACAGCTTTTTTTGCAAAAGAGTCCTCAGTATTGTGCATGCTGCCCATTGCAAGTGATCACTGTTTGGCACCTATGGCCTACTGATAGCTTGACCAACTTGTAAGTAGGCACAGTGCCATCCTAACAGATGGGTGTGAATATAGACAGCCAAGAAACCATGTCTGTGTATCTAGTGTATTTGTTAAGGGCAGGGTTCCCAGCTGGGGACGTTCAAACTTATGTCCATTTTGAATTTTTGCATTTATGGATAAAGGGAAGTTGCCATTAATGAATTTTTTAAAAAAATAAATGTCTTCGGGCATACAATTATTGACCATGTTGAACAAAATAAGGGAAGAGGGAAGTACCAACTCTTCCTTTGATACCCTTGAGGAGCTATTTTAAGTAAACTTAATTCCCCTTTAAGTGAGGCTGCTATCAAGAGTCTCGCTGTGACTGTCAGAGATGTGAAGCATATCAGTAGGTTTGTTTCAGGGGCCTGCCAGCCTTATTGTAAAAGAGGCCATGAAATCTTCTTTTATGGGCAGCAATCTGTCCAGCATTCAAGCACCTAAGTGCACCTGTCCAAGTCTAGACAGAATTATTTGTAGTAACTCAGAGGTCAAGGGGTGCAGTCCTTCAAGCCCTCTTCATGTCTCTTATATTGACAGGATATTGGCAATAAATTGCCTCTTAGCTTGAGGACAGTATGCTCATTTTGGATACGTTTTGGTATCCCTTAGATGACAGTGAGTGTGATCTTGTCCACATGTGAGTCATTAGGCAACACTACTGATTTTTGCACTTTTTCTCCTTGTCTGAGTCCACCTTGGGGCTCCAGACTTCTGGTTTATTATTCCGTTACCACTTTTAATGATTCCAGTCCTTTATTTTAATCCATTTCCTGATGTGGGTGTCCTGAGAAGCTGGTTAAAGGTCTGCAGTGATCTTTTTGGCCTGCTTTTATAAGTGATATCAACGTGTAGCATTTCTGCCACTCTGTTCCTTCTTGCACTTTGACACCATGGTTTTCTCATTGGTATGGTCTTATCTGAGCTGGTTGGAATTGCACTTTGTGCTTGAAAGTCTCATTTTTCTCTGTAGAAAATCTGGAGAAAGGATCTTCCTCTAAGACAGTAAAGTATGTATCAGCTTGAAGATAAAAAAAAGATGAAGGAATGTACAGAGGAGTTTCTTGAAGGTTGTGGATAAAGCTGTGGGGTAAAGTTAGTCTTAAAATGTAAGTGTAAAATGTGTCTTGATTGTGGGGAAGAATGTTACTGTGCAGAAGTGGAAATACGGAAGGTAATGCAGAATTTAAACATCTTATTTTGTGATAATGAGGAAGCTTGTGCAATGTAGGTATTGATAAATACCAGTCTCTTCCTGTGATGTGAGTTATTTAATTTTGTTTTGTTGAAGTTACTCTTTTAACCAGAGTAGGTATTCAGATGTGGTTCTATGACACAAAGATACTTCCCAGATTAATAAGGACTCTGAAAAAACAGAACTTCAGCATAGAATGATGCACCTTCTTTTCTGAATTTGTTTCTGTATTGAATGACTGGTGTCTGCAGACTGCTTTCTGCCAGAGTCCACTACTGTCTGACCAGATTCTTTTAGATCTTCCATGTATGAAGGATGCAATATTTAATATCAAATTTACTTATTTGAAGATAGTTGGTGCAATATGGGATTTCCGATTTAGGAGACTAATACAAAATATACTAAAAACAATACAATTTTAAGTTACACTGGGCAAATTACAGCAATGGCAATACACAGTTCAGTCACAATACTGATGTGATTCTCAATAATGATCTCTATAATATGTTCACTCTCATGATTCCAATGTCCCCAGCTGGACATTCCAGGGAAGGAATATGTGGATTGCAACCAGCTCAAGCCCATTGTTCTCTTGGAAGTTCTTCTGCTAGTTATTTAGTTTTTGCATGCTTATATTGGACTGAGCCTCCTATTTACTCCCCCCACACTGGCCAGGCTAACTCTGGGAGACATTTACACCTCCATTTGATCCACTTAACAATTTTAAGCTCCACTCAACTGTTTTCCTAAAACAAAGACCACCCATCAGCCCCCTTTGTGTTGAGCTCAAGTGCATTATTGCCAGAGCTCCTTGGGCATATCACCATTTTCCATCTCCAGGTAGTATTTTATCCACTGTTGGGCTTTATTCTGTCACACTTCGCCTCTAGGGTTTTGGTCAATCACAGTTGCAGACTTGAGTATTAGGGGATGGAATAACATTTTCAGGAAGCTTGACAGTTATTCTTGCCTTTAATAAGTAGAGAAATGTTTATGGGCTGCCCTCTTCAGATGTTAGTTGGATAACAGACATTATTTGAGGAAGAAAATTTCCTGAAGATGCTACCCAGTCAGAAGAGTCTTGTAGGAGGGAGAGTGCTTTTGGAACAGCTGTTATAGTTATGCAGTTTTCTTTTTGGGAAATTAAAATAAGTCCTAAAGGGACATTAGAACTGAAAGAGGAAAACTGATGTTAAATAACTGATATTAAGGTTATTGTATTGAGGAGCTAGACTAATAGGAAATAGGTATTTTGCTATCCAGAAACTTCCTCAGTTGTGTATTAATATTCCTTTCTGCTTCCAGCAAAATCATAAAATCCCACCAGTCAGAATGGTATCTTTTAGAAAATAACTGTGACTCTACATGACTTTTATCTGCATAAGGTAGAGGGAAAGATCACTTCTTTATAAAACACTTCATGTAAAGACACCCTGCGCACTCGTTGCCATGTCATGGCTACATATTCAGTAAGTTCTTTTACTGCAGCAAAATGTAACTGCTAAAAACTCACAACATTTATTTGCTCAAAATAAGGCCTTCTGCTCAGAAGGACTTTGGGGTGATGGTGGATGAAAAGCTGGACATGAGCAGTCAAGTAGCTGAGAAAGCCAATTGTATCCTGTGCTGTATCAAAAGCAGCACGGCCAGCAGGTCCAGGGAGGGAATTCTGCCCTTCTGCTCTGTTTTGGTGAGACCCCACCTGGAGTGCTGCATCCAGGTCTAGGGTCCCCAGCACAGGAAGGACATGCACCTATTAGAGCGAGTCCAGAGGACACCCACAAAGATGATTAGAGGGATTGAGTACTTCTATTAGGATAGGCTGAGAGAGTTGGGATTATTAAGCCTGGGAAAGAGAAGGCTCTGGGAAGACCTTGTTGCAGCCTTTTAGTACTTGAAGGGGGCCTATAAGAAGATGGGAACAAACTTTTTAGTAGGGCCTGTTGTGACAGGACAAGGGGTAATGGTTTTCAACTGAAAATGGGTAGTTTTAGATTTGATAGGAGAGAGAAATTTTTACAATGAGGCTGGTGAAACGGTGGAACAGCTTGCCCAGAGGGGTGGTGGATGCATGAAAACATTCAAGTTCGGATTGGATAGGGCTTTGAACAACTTGATCTGGTTGAAGATGTCCCTGCTCACTGCAGAAGGACTAGATGACATTTAAAAGTTTCCCTGCAATTCAAACTGTTCCAAGATTCTATGATTCTGTTCTGCAGAAAGATGCATGTTCCAGTAGGCTGTTAGGTTATTTCTGGAAATACTGCTTGTCTGACACCTGAGGTTGGGGGAAGGCAGCAGTTATACTTTTATTCTTAAGATCTCAAAATAGGTAGTTATGTACTAGTTTTTTGATGACCCACTCGATGATGCAGACTTTGATTCTTGTTGCTTGCAGTTATATAGGAGAAAAAAAAATTAACTGTTTGGATAACTTTTTAAATTTTTTTTTGGTGTATTTTTTACAGCTAAGAGGAATTCCTTATATTATTACTGAAGACTTGGAATTTTTCAATATGCAAGTTTAACTCCAGGAAAACTGAGATTTATTTCATTAGTTTACTTTTTTTCCAAGTTTTTGCCACCTGCGATTGGTTGTGATTGATTGAATATGCTAGATTCTGATATTTTTTTAGCATGTATTACAAAAGGTCTTCTAATAGGTTTCTCTTGTGAAGATTTTCGCTGTCAAATTTTTTTGTGATGCCTGGAAAAATGTGGGTTTTTTTCACTTAGAATTCATGCCAATGAAACTGCTCACTGCATTTCTTTTAAGGTATCTTTGTAGTAACATATTATAACTTAAACAACCCATACTTTTTCATGCTTCTAACAGATTTCTGCATAAAACAAATAGGATCAGCATGTAACCTATGGTTTTTTTTTATTTTTCCTTCCCTTCTCTCTCTCTCCAGGGAAAATGCCATATAATAAGAAGACTGCTGGAAAAAGAGTCCCTGCAAAAAGGAAACTTGCTGAAGTGTTTGCTCTGGGGGAGGTTCTAGCAGATACATCAAGAAAAGAATGGAAATTAGGTGTCCCTATAGGGCAGGGAGGCTTTGGACGCCTATACCTTGGTAAGTGTAGTTATCTTTGATAATGCTTTAAAATGGAGAGTGAGATGTTTATCCTTATTCAAAACAATGAAACGTTGACTCTAAATTAGAAATACAAAGTGTCTTCATGTGATCTTTGCTAGAACCTTAGCTTGGATCATGGTTTTGGGAGAAGATGACAGGGCTAAACAAAAAGTAATTTTAAACAATAGTTGTATGATTTTCCAGTGGTAGTTTCTTCTTTTTTTAAACCAAAATTTTTATTACTTTTTAGCCATGGAAAAGGTAGTTCAGTATTTATTTAAATTTGATTTTTGGTCTGGCTGAAATACTGGGTTTTTGCATGAGTGTTTTTTTAATGACAAATTCTGACCTGAAGCTGTCTGAGTATGTTCTGTGGAGGCTACTGATCAGCCAGTATTTGGGCTGGTTTTGACTTCGGGGTTGCTTTGATTTTTTTCATTGCTTTGTGAACTTCTGACAGGTCGTATGCTTTTTTTTAATGTAACTAATGTTCAAAACAAATCAAAATTTTGGACTTAATAGTTTAAACCGTCAGTACAATTCTTGTTTTGTGATGCTGTTACTGAATACAAGGGAAATTTCTTAAAGTGAATAGTGTTCCCTACTTAGTATCTCTTGAACAGATGCACAGATAAGAGAGGTCTTGAGACTATCTACTTGATTGCCCCAGTCATTTTCCAAACATTTTTGAACAGATGAAAGTTAATGTGATTGCTATAATATGGTCTTCCTCGTCTTGGTGAAAAAGTTGCACTGAATTCATACCGAGTTGGAAAACAACAACAAAAAATCTGTCCTGCTTTTAAAATGAACAGACTGCAGCATAAGTGGGTTAAGAAGAAAAACGGGACCAGTGTGTGGCTTCTTGCCAGAGAAGCTTTCAATTACTTACTCAGCCTTGCTCAATGAGCTACTAAATTTACTGGAGTTCCAACTCATTCAAATTGTGTAGTTCTTCATGTTACGAATGCCTGCTTTGTGGAAGCCAAAGTGTGCTCTCTGCTTCCCCATCATTTGCACAAGGCTGTGACCCTGACTGTTCTTGTACTTTGTGCTTGCCTAACTTGATGTCCTTCATACCTGTATCTTCTGTCACAGATATCAACAGCTTATTACCAACAGAAAGTCACTTCTGGATACGTGACATGGCAACTCAGTAGAGAGAATTTATTTTTCATCTTTATGTCCACAGATGTGTTATGTTTATCAGAGTCCTAGAAAACAAAAGAAATAATATTGACTAGGGAAAAGTTACTGGATAATAAAAAATAATTCCTTTATGTAGTAAACTGCCTATTCTCCTCAAACAGAAGGTAGAATGCAAGACCATACCCATATACAGTAGCCTTGTCATATAGAGTAGTTCTTTTACCAATGCTAAGGTACTGGTCTGTACTTAATTACTTTGTCATGTGTTTGTCCATTCTGCATAGCAAATAAGTGTGTGCTTTGTGACAGTTTGCTCTCCTCCTACTAATAAAAGCTTCTTTTTTAACAGCTGATGTTAATTCTTCAAAGTCGGTTGGCAGTGATGCCCCTTATGTTGCAAAAGTGGTAAGAGAGCATTTGAATCTTCACAACCTGAAAATATTTGTTCTAGAATAGCATGTGTAATTTAAAACATCTTCTGAAAATAATGCAATTGCTGTTTAAAATAAAAGTGTGGTGATACAGAGGAATGCAGGTGAGAATTGGGACTCCTGTGTATGAGGAACATCATAGTGGAACATCAGTGTAGTTGAGAAAGATTCATTAAATGGATCATATTCTGTTTCATTTGCTTCCTATAAACAGCCCAGATATCACCAAAGGAATGAAATCTGTCTAGCTTTTGGAGAATTTCTGTGATTCAACAGTGAGTCTGTGTGAACTGTTGCTCACCACTGGATGTTGGTAAACTGACAGATGGCTTGGGAATAGAAAAAGCAAAACCTTGATTCCCAAGGTCTCCACAGATACAAAGTCCTTTAAATGTTTTATCATAAACCACATACCTGTTCTAATTTCTCTTGAATTAAAATAGCATTGACACATAATTTTTTTAACCTAATGATTAGAGAGAAGAAAAAGAATTGTTGATAGCTCATTTTTATCCCTCTGTAGCAAATCAGCAGATTCTTTTTATAGCTTGAAATTTTCTTATGTTTTTAGTGTTAAAAAAAGAGTTATTTCATTTGGCTTAGCTATTTCTCTTCCTAAGGTAAAAGTATTTTTCCAGAGTATTTGGTATAGATCCTACTATCATATATGATTCCTGGTAAAGTCTTAGTAAAAAAACCAGGGAATATCGGAATAGCCATAGTAGATCCAGACCCTTGACTATCTTGGTGGCACTTCTGTTCCTGTGGCAAAAACAAATACCAGAAACCTGTACAAGACAACTTCACAGTGTAAAAGATTAGTTTTTCAGCATAGTTCAGAACTGCACTGTTCTAACATTTTATTTATTAAACTCTATGATGATACTGAAATGCTTTGCTGCAGTAGCTGGCCACATTTTAAATACGTTAATACTTTTAACATTTGTTCCTGAAACTAAAAGATCAGGTTAAATTAGAATAAAATACATTTTAGTTAATATGTGCCTTTAATCTTGATATTTACCTCTGCTGACTAAAGGGAAATTCTAGAGTACTGGTTTTGATACTGTTCAGGCGCCCCAAGGTGCAATTTGTGATGACCCTGTTTCCGAAATGTTGTCCCTTGCTGAAGAAAGCACCATGCTTACCACGCAAATGTCGGACTGCCACACTTTCAACATCAGCCTGCTGCTGCTGCTGCCTTAGGTGTTGTGGGCAGGAATTCTGCACAGACCAGGAACCCCAGCCTGCAGCTGGCAGCTTCAGTATGTTCAGCCCGTGCTGTTGAGGGCGGGGGTGTCCATCATGCAGGAACTGTGGCCTGTTTCAGAGGCAGATAACAGATAGTGAGACCATCAGCAGTGGCTTGCCTGTAAGAGGCAGTGGCTTCTAATTACTGGCTCCTGCTGAGTTTGGACTGATCAGGAAGCAGAGTGCCATTTAACCTTGATGGAAGAATCTGGTTTCACTTGCTTGGAAAATCATCAGATATGCATTAATTTATGCTGTGAGTAATTGCTATCCCCTTCTTTCCCTGAGTTTGAAACCTGTCCATCTGCTTCTCTTCTCCACTTTAGGCTCTGAATATAGGAGTTGCCCCAACTTTTGGGTTGCCTTTATGCTAGATTCACTTTGCCACAGCATTTTGTAAATACTTCCATTGCTAATATCCCAGATGGCTACTCACTTCTAATTTATCTTTTATAATTTTGTCTTTATGGCAATAAAGAGTAGGCCCAGTCTTTGAGCTAGCCTCACAAATGACCCATAACATATTATGTCTCTACAGTCTCATATAACACAACTACGGATAAGAGCCCATTTTCTGATGCCTGGGTGGTTGCTAGTTGATCCATCAGCTAAGCAAAGTGGTTAACAGCTTTGAACAATTATTAGTGTTTAACAAAATATGTGCTTCTATAGTAATGTTCTTCAAATTAAGCTATTAAAGCAGGATGGAAATTGGCTTAGTCTTTGACATATCCTCATAGTATTGATGTCTCAACAGTATGAAATGAATCACAGCTTTTATTAAAAAAAGAAATGCTTTTTAACATGTGGACCTTTCAGATGTCATTGTTCAGGAGTGGATGCAGAGTTTAATTACACTTCATTAAATTTCTGACTGAAAAAGATCAGAATTCTTAAAGTACTACTTGAAATTTGTTGGGTGTCGACATGTACTCCATAATTGCTTTCATTACAATATCTCTTTGAGTAAGGCATTAATTTCAGTTGTGTAAGTCATATGTTTAGAATGATCCTGGGCATAAAGCTGTAGAAGTTTGGGAACTAGTGTACCAAATAATGGACATAATTGTGTGAGCTTTTTTAGCATAGCTTATGCATTTATTTGTCTGTATGTAGAATTAATGGTATTGTGGGAAAACACCTTCACAGTCAACCTGAAGAACTATTTTGTGGTTAAATCATTTATCCATTCCCTCAAGTATGAAGAGGTAGCAGATTTTCAGCATTTGCTCTGACTAGAGAAAGATATATCTCTTTTTCAGCACTGCGACATAATTTTTGTGGCATAATTTATTTATAGATAAATATTGTAAGAATTTTTAACACCTACAGTTTTTTGCTCTATTTTAGTGACAAGATAACATTCATGCCTGTGTAATCTGAATAAAAATTATATAAAAGATAATTTGTATTCTAATTAAAATAGAGTATTAATGGATTATGCTACACAGAAACAAGTGAATGGGTCAAATAATATCTACTTGAGATAACTGCAGTGTAGGAATTTAGCTGTTTTTCGCTTCTGGTCTGCTTATGTAATCTCTGTATTGCTATTTTGTTGTCCATTGTGTATAAATAAAAATCTGTGTGTGTGTTGATCAGTTAGTCAAGCTGGTTTTGGTTTTGTTATTTTTTTCTTGTTCCTGGCTGAAGTCTGACTGTTGGTCCCACAAAGAGGGGGCCAGAAAACTGTTGTCTCGGCTCCATTGTTTATGAAGGTAGTGCTGCTGGAGACAGTGAGGTGGAGATAGGTGGTAGGTTTGTAATCGAGGGTCCGGGCCTGGGAGTGGTGCCCAGGCTGATCTCTGCTCTCATTCTGACCTGTCTGCCTGACTCTGCCCTGCTCCCAGACATCAGCGTGTGCTGCAGCCCACGGTCGTTGGCGTGTTTGATCTCTTTACATTGCTACCTTAATGTCAGACAGCAGTAAACCTCTATTAGCTGAGTGGTATAGTCTGCCCCTTAGCAATTTCCTGGATCATTGCATCTGCATTTAAAAGTTAAAAGTTAAAATTAAAACTGTTTAAAATTGACGTGTATCTTAGAACTTCTCTTAGTATCGTGTGATTGTATTATTTCTGGGTTTCTTTGCCAGTAACTGCTTATGTGTTGTTATTTCTTAAGTGTAGGATGTTCTAAAACAGGTATTTTCACTGAGATAGAATGAATGTGGACATATGTGAGTAACTAGACTAAAATATATTGCTTAAGCTCATCTCAAAATCAATTACTCAAAAATTGCAAGAGTTGAAATCACTGTTTTTTTCTGTACCAAGTTCTGGAAATGTAGTGTCAAAGTACTTGCCCATTTGCTATTTTCGCACTTTGGTGTTTTCATACAAATTTCTCCCTTGAACTTTACTTGTTACATGGTTCCCATAGATTTGTCCCTTAAAAATGGGACTGAAATACCTTATATTCTGCTAAATGCAAGATAGGCTCTGAAGTCAAAACAGGTATAGTTCTTATAATTTAGTTTAAGACAAATTTTGAAATCCTCTGTAATTTTTATCTCTGTCATCTAATGTGTGAAGGGAACAAAATGCCTTATGTTCAGCAAGAATTTAACTTTTGTTAAGATTTTTTTCATCAAGTCATTACAGGTGTTATTTTAAGATCACTGATGGCTACTGCAATTGATGCAATCCAGCTTTAATCTGGAAAATCTGAGATAATGAGTGTTGTTTAATGTTCTCTGCTAAACTTTGCCAATTATTGGTAATATTTCTACACATTTCAGTCAATTTGTTATTCTTTAGTCTTTCGTTATGAGACAGTATTCTTTGATACCCTTACTGTTAAGCAATTTATAATAAAAATAACTTTTTAGAGCTAAACTTCTTTTATAAAAAGAAGATTCAGTTGAGTTTATCAGCACTGGGTAGAGCATTTGAGGGAGAATATGTTTTTATAGGGTGAATGTTATATTTTGTAAGCTTTTAATAATTATTAGACACTAACACAGCAGTTTTTAACCAATTTTAAATTGTCTTAAAGGAACCCAGCCAGAATGGACCTCTTTTTACTGAGTTAAAGTTCTACATGCGAGCTGCTAAGCCAGATGAAAGTAAGCAGTCTATTAAAATGTTTTTAATGAACTACAAGCATTTAGGAAAATAGAACCCGTAGGAGTAAGGTCAAACTTTAAGGGAATCTCTTTAGGTAATTTTCAAAATTATTTTTAAATTATTGACATCTAATTCAGACATAAAGTAAATTAGAGATTTTTGGTAAGAAGTTCTATATAGTTCTGTTGATGGTGATGTCTAAATTGAAACTTGGGTTACATCTCTGTCCCTACAATGAATAAATATGTTGTTAACTTTCCCCGTATACTTTGCGTACATGTTTCCATGAAATAAGCAGCTCACAGGTATGCAGAAACTGTAAGCAATGTGACTACTCCCTTTTTATGTAGGTCTACTGATGCAAATTCATGAACTTTACTTTATTTGTGTTTTCAGTTCAGAAGTGGACTAAGTCCCATAAACTGAAATATTTAGGTGTACCAAGATATTGGGGTTCTGGCTTGCATGAAAAAAATGGAAACAGGTGAATATATCTTTTGTTGGCATATATTGGAATTTATTTCATTCACAACCACTATCCCTTTTAACCTAATTTACTTTGAAAGGTGTATTTCCCACGTACCTTCCTGTTGTTCTCTTTTGCTACAAAGTTTCATGTTCATGGCAGGGTGCCTTTAGGGATTATATGAATAGATACATTTTATCTGTATTCTGTTTTTTTACTCCTATTTGTGTCTATTATATTCTTTCTAATTTAGTTTTCATTTGTCGCAAGCGTTGTTGTACTACAGTGATGCTTTATATGTGTATGTGGTCTAGAAGCTTTTCATATTTTAATTAAAACAAAGTCAACTTCTAATGTGCAAGTCCTTGAATAATATGACTACCTTTAAAGTTTTTCTTGTGTGCACTTAAAGTATTTTCACTCACAAATATTAAGGACTTAGTGCGCCCTCAAATCTATTTTATTTTCTCTAGGGATAGGTTTGGTTTTGGTTTTTTTTTGCTTAATCTGTGAGCTAGAATAATTGCTAGTCTCATGTTAAATTTGTTTTAACTCTAGGGATAGTTTTTAGTATTGTTCCCTGTCATGAAGGGTTTTTGTTACTTGGTCTTTAATGTTAATGCCTGTTTATGTAATAGCACTTGTTTCCTAGTGGGTTTTCTCTAAACATCTGTGCTGCAAAGGAGTTTTTGTACTTCTCTGGCAGTTTAGAGTAGGTCAGGCTTCTCTGTATGGATCACTGCATAGGGCAGTCAGTATGTATGCCTTAGTATATCAGAAATATCAGTGTTTCAGTATGTCCTCAACTGTAAAACTAATTAATGTAAAACCAACGTTAATTTTGAGAGGCAAAAGTAAATACAGCAATTTTTTGTTTTTATCCTGCAAATAAATGTGCCTTTGCATTCAGTGTTTAATGCATGAATTTCTTTAATATAGCCACTACGAATTTTTACAGTTCTTACACCAGTTTGGCTATGGCAGTGAATGTCAGAACACCTTTGGCAGCTGGAGGTCTTTATGGTTAATAATAGGTTAAAAAGTTTGCAATAGATTTCAGTAAACAAACATTTTAAGTAACCATGTTGAATCACTTAAGTAATTTATAAAGTAAGGAATGTATTTTTGTAAGTAATTGATGCTTGGTTTTGCCTATAGTGAGTTACAATAGGGTGTTTTCTTCTGTGAGTACTTGTTACTGTGTTGCATAACTAGAATAAAGAGCAGTTCTCTTGATGGACAAGCTTTTGACTAGCTGATGTAAAAAAAGGTAAGAATTGATGTTCATCATTAAAAAAATAGTCAAGTATTTCCCACAATTACTTTTGAGAGAATCAGTAATTTGTACAGTTAACACACAGATAAAATACTTTGCTAAGTGCTGTTCAGTAACTTTGCTGTTTGGTCTTTTTTTTTTTTCTGCCCTTGAATTTAGTTATCGATTTATGATAATGGACCGATTTGGCAGAGATCTTCAGAAGATGTATGAAGAGAATGCAAAGCAATTTTCCCGTAAAACTGTACTACAATTAGGCCTGAGAATAGTAAGTTTAAAAAATACATTATATTTTCACAGTCTGTCTTCCCTGTGCAAGTCTCAGTTCAGTCCCGCTTTTGTGCTGAGTCCAGGTCCTCTGCTGGGCAGACCTGGGTACTGCATTCACATGACTTTTGTTTTGTTAGCTTGATATTCTGGAATACGTCCATGAGCATGAATATGTGCATGGAGACATCAAGGCCGCAAACCTCCTTCTGAGTTACAAGAACCCTAATCAGGTATTTCTGATGCATTTTATTCCTCATGTTTTACACCTTCTATTTGACAACACATGCAAGTGCTTTGAACCTGTGAAATCTAGCAGAAGCTCATTTTTGAGAATGTATATGGTAACATTATTTCTGCTTGACATTTATATCTAGTTAATATTCTGTGATTTTTTAATGCTTTTTGCTGGACAGTTATCAATTGACTATTTGGCCTAAATAATATTCTAGAGAAATTCTTGAGATTAAAAAAAAATTGACTCACAAATAGGTATTTGCAGGTGGAAGCCTAAAATTATATAGCACACTGGTAAATTATGTTTGCCTGTCTGCATTGTTACCTCATTCCTTTGTTCAAGAAATCCATCAGATAAGTGTTCTGTTACTTGGAAAAATTGGTCTTTAAAGTGTTTATTGTTCCACTTGATTTATGGAAGTCTTTCATTTTTCTGCATTTTTAACTCTCTTTCCTATTCAAACAATGCATATTAGAGTTTCAGAATTATGTATGTGTTCTTGCCCAAATGTTTTAGCTTGTGAAAGATGTAAAATAATTTCATTTCTCTTAAAGTAACTGTGGTGTTAGTGAGTAGTAGTAATGTGTAGTATTGTTCAAATGAGACAGCTGACTTTATAGAGGGTAGCACAGTAAGTGCATTTATAACTTTATGGACATTTTTTCCTTTTTTGATTGTTTTTTTTTTTAAATTTAATTTTACTGGTAATAACTGACTATTTTACTTTACTTGGCTTTTACATCAACAAGAAATGACTTCCACATCAGACTGCTATATGAAAAATAATAAAACTTATCTGACATATTGTTTTCAAATCATAGATAGTAAGATTAATACAGCACTGAGAATCATTTAAAGTTGAACAATCACCATTTTTACTACTTTTAAAGAAGTTATGAGAATGATTGGGAGTTGCATTTATTATTTGCATATTTTTTGTATTTATGGTTCTTTAACCTCGGAATTCTTTGTGGAAATTACTAGGTGTACTTGGTGGATTATGGACTTGCCTACCGATACTGCCCTGAAGGAGTTCACAAAGTATATAAGGAAGATCCAAAAAGGTGTCATGATGGAACTATTGAATATACCAGTATTGATGCACATAAGGGTGTGGGTAAGGATGGAAAAACTCTTCTCAGCGATAGGCATTTGTATATCCTTTTTTTATAAATACAAAAGACTTTTAAAAACTCAATGCAGCAAATAAACAAACCAGGTTTCTGAATCTATAAAAATGTTTTTGTTATTTTTCTTTTGTTCCCTGTGGATTATGCTGGCCTTTTTTTTCCAATTCACTAAGTTTTACTTACTGTATTTTTAATGTAACTTTCTTAACTAGAGTTTCTTAAAGATGTTTAACATATTGCTTTTTACTAACTAAGTAGAAATGGAATAGTGCTTGTGAGATCTTGATAAAAAATAGGGCCTGTTTTCAGGAGAAAAATAGTTTCTGTTATCATTTTGGAAATATTCTTGGTTTTAAGTCAATAGGTAGAATTTTTTTTAACAAAACTTCACTTAATTAATTATACCTATTGTCACTGAACATCAAAAGGTAAGAAGTGAGAAAAGGTTGAACATGGAAAGTACAGGTCTATGTCTGATTAAACGTTTAGGATTTATAGTGAACACTAATTTCATTTTCTTAATTCTTAAATTTTGCTTTATTAGCATAAAGGTGTGTTCTACAAAAATGAAAGTTGTTGAAAGTGATTATTTACTTTAGGATGAACTGTTGCATCTATGCTTAAAACTGAACATGAGCAAAGATGACTTGATTTGCCTAGTTATACTTCTAGTGTAGTCTGTGGTCAATGTACATGTGGTACATGTGGTTGTTTTGGGGTTTTTTTACTGGTTTATTTTTGGGTGTGTTTTTTCTTGTGAAGACTTAGAGATCTGATCTCTTACTGTCCTCTGTTCAGTTTTCAGGCCACATAAAATAATTCAGCATTGTAGAATATTTTTTCAGGAGGTGGGGTTTCAGCACTGTTACATTTTTATAGAAGAAGGGAAGCAAAAACTGTTTTGAACAGAAAGTCAATCACTTTGCTAACTTGTTCTATTTTTTTCCACAATTTGACTACTTAAAAAGCTTCCCAAATTGGGATAAGTGCAGCATGTCATGTTTTTGAATAGAAAAAAGAGATTGATAAAGGGCTTAAAAATGAAGGTATCCTTCCAGATGTAGGAATAATATTTTTTCCTTCCTAGCTTTTATGGTAAAATAAAGAAATAAGTAACAGATACAGTAGTGTTACATTTTTAGCATTGACTTTCTATTGTCTTAGCATATTTACAAATTTTTAGTGTTGTTAAACTGTGCGTGCTTTATTAGATGATGTAATGGTTGGTTTTTTTATGTGTGGATATGTTTAGCACCATCAAGACGTGGTGATCTGGAGATCTTGGGTTACTGCATGATTCATTGGCTTAGTGGCCATCTACCGTGGGAAGATAATTTGAAAGATCCAAATTTTGTCAGAGACTCAAAAATCAGGTGAGAAAACTACTTGTTTTCTTTCACTTTTGAAAATGAAAATGTCTTACTGTAGAAATGCTTTGTACTTTAAGTATGTTCCCGTTTGGTGAGTAGGCTATTTTGTGTACCCTCCAATTTCCCTTCATCATGTCTCATGTATCCTTGACTTGTAATTACACTTCACTTGTACTGTTCTGCTGTCTTCTTTTGCATGTGTGAGATGCTTATTTTTCCACCACAGTATTGTCACTTTAGAATACTGCCATCAAAAATCACTCATAGCAGAATGCAGGTAACTATTAGTCCTGCTTTACAAGTGTGGAGTATGAGTATATAGCACCATACGCTGAAGTCAGTGGCAGAGATGGAAGCTGAAGGGGAATCCTAAATGTCTTTGAGCATCATTCCACCTAGAGCACTACTACTGTGGGATTTTTAAATTATTTTTCATTTTGTCCCCCAGCCTCACTGTTAACATTCCTTCATCTTCCCCTCAGCCCCAAACAACCTTCTCGTGTCAGGTATTTGATATGAAGGGAGCTGTCCCAGCACAGCAGTTTCAGTCTCATTAACAAGTATTTGTCATCGGGCTTCCTAAGCATTGGTATGTGAGGGTTTAAAATGGAACAGTTCTTTTTCTTCAGTCTTCTACTTGCTTACTTTTATAAGAATCAAAAGCTGTTGAACAAAAACTTACTGTATTTCAGGTAGCCCATCTGTCATTTGTCAGATTCTCAAATGTACTGCACACCTAAAAATGTCCATAATATGTCATACCAAAGATTTATGTGGTAGTGTTTCCTGTGTCTCACAGTGGCCCAAGCTGGGTACTTAGAAAGTTTATCAGAACAGGGCAAGACTAAAAATTCAATAGAAACAGTAGTTTTGAATAATTTTGTTTTTCAGATGTAGAGATAATATTTCTGTTTTAATGGACAAATGTTTTCCTGAGAAAAATAAACCAGGTAAGAGGAGCTGTTTTTAAATACTTGTTTACTGAAGTTTGTACCTATTTTTCTTCTTCCTTTCAGTCAGGAACAACAGTGGCATGAATTAGAATGTTGCTTAAGAGAAGTTTAGGCTCTTCCTTTTGGGTGTAGTTGTATGAACTGCAGACACTGTGTTGCTTCTGGCTAAGGACAGTATTAATCACAAACATGGAATGTGTAAATTGATTTTTCACAACTGACTTTTAGAGTGAAAATTAAAAAGTATTGCAAACTTGAAGTATAGATTGTTCCTATTTGGCATTGGTGATTTGCTGAGTACATTAAAAAAACCCAAACCCTAACTCTACTGAAATACACTTTCTTGGTATCCTAATATTTAGTTATTTCCAGCTATTCCTAGTGATCAGAAGAGTTTTCTCTGTCAAGTGTGACTTGCCTGTTTTTAAAATGGTCTAATGTTTCATATATTATTTTAATATATGTTTCAGCCTTGAACTGATTAAGTTCTGAGATAACATTGAATTTACTTTTCCACATTTTTATATACAGATGTAAGAAATACAATGTAAACAAGCATTCATTAGTGAAGATTGGCCTATTACGCTTTTTTATGACTTACTCTTCATTGCAATGAACAGGTGAAAAACAGTGATGCTGTCATCACTGGGTAACGAACCTTGGCATAATTTTTTTCTAAAACATGCTGTAGTAAAGACACAATTATTAGGAGTTTATAAATAAACATTTCAAAAATAGCATAAGTAGTGCATGCATAATTTCTGTCTCTTTTGTTGTAAAAGTGAATGATTAAAATGTTTTCAAATAGAAATTAATTGGAGATGCCATTTCTTTAGATGAAATAGCCAAATATATGGAAAAGGTGAAGCTACTGAGCTATGAAGAGAAACCTGTTTATCAGCATTTCCGAGAAATACTTCTGCAAGGTCTCAAAGCCATTGGGCAAAAAGATGATGGAGTACTTGACTTCGGCTTGTCAGAGAATGGAGACTTTCAAACAAATCCTGTACAAAAGGTTTTACTCTAAAAATTCTTGTCAGCTTTTATTGCATTTTGTTGAGCTAAGTAAAAGTTAGAGTGGTGTTGGAATTAGGTGCCGTGACTTCATCCAGTAGGAAAGAATTAAATAATGAGATGTTTAAGTCCTAGTCACATGCATTATTTCTCTAACTCAACTTCACTAATTGATATTAAAACTTAATGCAGAATGAAATTTGTAGGTGTACTTTCAAATAGATAGTACCTTGGACAACAACATTTGTATATCTAAATATAATGACATTTGAATAGATGAACATTTGGCTAATTTACTTATTTCTTTAAATTGGTAAAACTCCAGATGGATCAAAGTACATGTAAGGTAAAATTGGTCTAGTATTTGTTTCATATTAGTTTCCTTTCTGTGACTAGTTCAAAGCTTAGTTTTAAGTATGCAATTTTATGCCAGGTATTTGGTTTTGGAATTCACATATTGAATTTACCATGATCTAATATGTTATTTTTGAGTCTTAACTATGTTCATAGGCCATGGATATTTTATTCTTTGTATTTAAGAAGCCTTAAACTCTGGATTTGAATTCCCATTTGAATATGGCATTAGGAAGTTTTTAAGCTTTAGGGAAAGTGTATGTTAAAATGGCTTCTAACAATAATCTGGTCAGATAATGGGACAATAAATATTTTCTCATACTTCAAACTGCATTTATTAGTTCTTTATTTACATTTGTTAATAGCAGGTGGGTAGTTTATTGGTTCCTTTAGCATGAACCAGGGAACTGAGAATACAGGGTAATAGTACAAGAATGTTGCCTGCTTACTGACACAATCAGCAGTGTGTTAAAGATGGAGAAAGAGTAGAAAAGAAAAAAAGCTGTATGATTCTAAAGTCTGAAGATGTATGTCCAGCTTTTCTTACTTCTTTTTGCCCAGTAAATAGTATTTTGGCTAAAACTGTACAGCTGTGGTCTCTATACAAGTATTTTCTACTGAACTGCATGTAAAGGTCTGTCCCAAAGGAGAGTTCATTAGCATAAGTTCTTCTGTTCCCCCTGTGGTTCGACATGGCTTGAGACCTGTATTTTTGGGGAAAAAAGATAATCTGTTTTTAATGGTTGGCTGGTTTCTTTGCTGAATAAGTTGGCCTGCTGCAGAGCCAACATCTGTGACCTTTAATGTCCTTGTCCAGCAGAGATGTCTGGTGCACATTTTCAGTGGAATAAAACTTCAAAAATCTTATTTCTTTAGCCAATATCAATCAAGACCATTCCCAAAGGGTGGGATAATACTTTTTCATAGGTTCTTACCTACTGGCATCAAATAGGAGCTCGTTTTTACATTGGGGTTTTTTTTTGTTGTTTTTTTTTTTCTTACTCTGAGGAACCATATGCATGGTCAGCTTGCTCAGTTGTTACAAATAAGTTCAAGCATTTAGATGAAACAATGAGTGTTACTGACCTGTTTGAGTAAGTTTTTTCAGTGATCTGCTTCCTGTTTCAGTGGACTTCATGCTACTTCATGCCAGCAACTGCTGGAGTGACCAGACAGAATAAGATTGATGGACATCAGATTGACATACCTTCTTGCTTTCGATCAAGCACTGGAACATATGACTCTTCCTTCTATGTAGGATTTTGTAGGCCTTGTAACAGCAGTGGTATAGGCTAGGATAGAAGAATAGATTGTTTCAGTCCTTTCTAGGCTGAATTTTTCACTTTTCTTCAAGAATGAATGAAAAGAGGGTCTTCAGCAGGATGTCTCCCCTTCCAGAATATATCTTTGGGAACTCATACTACTCAATTTTCTTCCAGAGGGTATCAGACATTAAGGAGAGTCTAATAGAACAGGAAGGCAGTTTGTGCAAGTTGAGAACAGCTAGACACTTAAAAATACGGAGGAAGAAAGAAAGAACGTAAAATGTTAATTAAAATGATATATATTTTCAGCTGTGATGGGGAGCTCAACCTGATGACTTAGAGTTTTGAAATAAGCTCCAGATTCCAAACTTTGTTAAAATCTGCTTTCCAGAAAGATAATTTACCATTAATCAGTAGTGTCTTACTTCCGAGAGCCAGTATCTTCTAGCACATGCTGGATTTCTTTTGATATGCTTAATGTCTACTTTGGAAAAGAAAAATACAGTCTGGCATCTATCTTTGAGAAGATTGTGACCTCTAATACGGAATATCTGTGACATTTTGGCTCTACTGACCTTTTCATCACGACAGGTCTTAACACACCCACTCTTCACTTCTTTAGTGCAATCTACTATATTTTCTTAAATTAGTTATATTTGGTGTTCTGAAGTTGTGCTGTTTCATAGCTAGGAGACAATATTTCTAGCTTCTGTGTAAATACATTCTTAGAATGTAGGATTCTCCTGTGCTTTCAGCTTGTATAGATAATTGAGCCATGGTGGGCATTATATGTTGCATATAAGGATGGTTGTTCTGTAATCTCAGTATGTTATCTGGGTAAAATACACAGATGTCTGCTTTATTAAAAGTTAGCATTTTATTTTTTATATCATGACTCAAGTTTTCCCAGATGTGAAAGTAAATGAAAAACAGTCCACCGTTCTCCTCAATGTTTTTTTTTTTTCTTCTGTAAATGCATGTTGGTTTGTGTGTGGTATTCTATAATAGTTCTAGCAAAACAAGAAGCTAGCAGTACTGGGAGTTAAAGGAAGTATTTTGAGCTCTTGACTAAATTATTTAGTGCAAGGAGCACATCTTGCCGTTGTTCAGTGCTGAAGAGCTGCTGGGAAATATTGAGAGTAACCTGGAAAAATATAGGTCTTACTGATTTTTGGTTCCTTCTAATGGTTCAGATGTGCAGGTGCTGCTTTTGTCAGATGAATGCTGCCTGATTTCTACTGCTATGTAATTCACCTGCATCAAGATTAAGAAACCACTTTTTATTAAATAAGCTTGGAAACAAGATAAATGTATTTTGCTTTTGTGTAGCATGTATTGAATATCTGTTTTTCTGATGAGCATTTAAAATGTTTCCTAGTACAATTGGGAGGAATGCATTATCTCTCATATAAAAGCAGTGCAGTGCTGAAATAGTCCTCCTTAATTTTGGTCAGAATGAACAAAAGTGTCTGTGTTTATTCCTGCCTAATGCATCACAAATCTGCTGACATGCTAACCTTGGAGTCTTGGCTGGCGGTAATCAGGCCTGTGCACCGGCAGGAAAGATGTACCTAATGCACTCCATCAGTGCAGTTTGCATATGGAAGTTCTCACAGGGGAGCTGCCCTGTGCCAGCTGAGGGTTACCTGCCCACTGCAGTTATTGTATGTAATTATCGAACCAATCTGTTCAGCCCAGCAGGGTTTAGATGGTAATCATGAAGCAACACTTTGGAAAGGAAAGATGTAATGCACTGTCCCCTTCTCTCGTGAGCTGTGTGAAGTTGTAGCCGCTTTTAAAGCTGTATTAGTAAGGCTCTAGTCTTACACAATTAAAAAAAAAACCTAAAAAAAAAAAAAAGGTAAACTCTTCTGTATTCATCACTTTTCATCTGTGTCTGATACAGGTCAACTCATCCTTTGCAAAAATCATGACTTTAAAGCAATAATTTTCAATAACCACTTTAAAAATACTTTGCAACAGCAAGATTAATTGTAATACACAGATAATAAGAGTTCTGTACATTTAGAGGTTTTAAGATAATGTATCTTGAAAAGAGTTCAGATTTCCCAAGTACCTCTCTTTGGAACAGACTGCACAGTTGCTATTAGGAAAAAAAAAAAAAAATGTACTGTCAGTGGGTATGAGCTACTTTTAAGCTGTGCAAAGAAATCCTTAAGAAGCCAGATCCAGATAAACTTGAATTTAATGAGGTGTAATTGCTTTTAAAAAAACAGGCATTATGAACTTAATGTAAAATGTTTTCGTGTGTTCTTTAAGATTTTTCAATTTTCTCCTTTGTAACAGTGATTCAATGTAAATTAAAAAAAACCAGGTTTTGATCATAAAGACTCATGTTTTCATACATTAAAATTTCGACTCCTAAAGTGATCTGCAGATAGGGGAACTGTCCTTTTAAATTGTGTATTGCTTAGTACTAGAATTCTTGTGTTAATATACGAATAAATTTTCTCTATGACTGGAGACATTTTATAATATATGAAGAAATAATGCTTAAAATTGGGGAATATCTTGTGAAGATAAGATATTTTCTACTTGGTATGGTCTTTCCTGCTCTTGAGTTCAATTACTTTTTTCTTATTTTTTTTTCTTCAGAAAAGAAGAAAGGCAGCAGCTGCAGCCAGTGAGAGCACTGAGGCAGATATGGAAGATACAGGAAGTCCAAAAAAAAAGAAAGCTACTTCTTCTAGTAAGTCAAAAGATTGTTCTGACAGTCACATGTACTGGTGTGGCAGGATACCTTGGCTAAGGGCCAGACTCCCACATAGCTACTCACTCCCCTCCTCAGTGGGACAAAGGGAGAAAATAGAATGAGAAAACTCATGAGTTGAAACAAAGATGGGAAAATTTATAATTCTTTACTGTTGTGGGCAAAACAGACTCAACTTGGGGGAAATAAATTTAATATATCACAAATTAAAATAAATTTGGGTAATAACAAAGCCAAACATTAGGAAAACACCTTTCCTTCCCCCAGGCTTAACTTAACTACTTTACTCTAAATTCATCTACCACTCTCCCTGTTCAGTGCAGGGGACATAGAGGGGAAGTGTGCTGTGGTCACTACATAGCGTTTTCTCTCTGCTTCTCCTTCCTCCTTACATTTTCTTCGTGCTCCAGTGTGAGCTCTCTCTTTTGGACTGCAGTCCTTCAGGGAAAAAAAAAAGAAAGTGGCCCTGTTTCTTCAGGAAATACCCATTTTCTCCAATGTGGGCTCTCCCATGAATTGCAGGGGCTCCATCCTGGATCCTTCATGAGCTGCAGGCAATATCTGCTCTGGTGCAGTGGAGTACCACCTCCTCCTCTGACTTTGGTGTTCCCTCTGCTGTTTCTCACTTTCTTCCCTGCACAGCTATTCCCTATCTGCCTGTCAAGTGGTTTTTTTACTTTTCTTAAATGTTTTCACAGAGGTACCACAAACAAATTTGGCTCAGCGTTGGCCTACAGTGTGTTTGTTTTGGAGCCAGCTGGAAAGGGCTGTGTCGAACACAGGACAGCAGCTGGTCTTCCCACAGAGACTACCTCTGTAGCCAACCTTAGCTTACCAAAACTCAGCCACATGGCCACAAAATACCCAGTAGAACCATTTACTTGTAGCAGTTCAAGTGCTTTTGATCTTTCATAATTTCTTTCTAGATTAACTCTAATAATGTTGAAATATTTAAACTTTCTGTGTGAGAAAGGATTATGCTCCACTTACATACTTGCCTAAAGCTGGTAGAATTGCTTGGTGATAAAAATTGGTCACTGAACTGTGTTCTTTTGCCATTGTTCATTCTCTGCTCCATTCTCATTTCTGTCATTTCATCTTGTCCAGTTCACTGTTAGAAAATGCTGACTCTTCAGGATTCCTCATCACAGCGTGTTAAAGCCAAGGGCTAGCAGCAGCGGCTTCCAAAAGCAAGCGTGTTTGAAGTCGAGGAAAGGATCAGCTGTAAGGATAGAAAATGCTGAAGCTATTATTTCCACATAATTTGGCATAGTTTCAGTGTTGTCTGGAAAAAGTCATGGACAGACAAAGTAGGATTACTGAAAATGCGAGATCAGAAATCTTCAGTAGATCTGTGTAGGGTAAGCTGTGGTGGGTGTCCAATCAAACAGGCTTCTAGATCTAACTTTCTAATGCCTTCATGTAGATCTGAACTGGTTTCAAGTAATTGCAAAGATATTTTTCCTAAAGAATTTTTGATTCACACTTTCAAGTAAAATACCAGATGTTGTCTGTGGTCAAGTAGTCTAAAAATAATAAAGCAGTAGCTGAAATCTACCCTAAAACAAATCTGCTAGTTTAAAAAGGGTTTGGTGAAGGAGTCTGGCAGGATGGGAACCCGTAACCTTTCAAACACAGTAGTAATATTGATAAGAGATGGATTTACCATAGTATATTTACTCCAACTGTATGGTACAAAGTATAAGGAATGAAGCTCATGTTATTTCACCAAGTGACACTACTTTGTTTGTTTTCAGCTGTTCATATTATGGAATTCTAATCATTAAAACCAGTGACTATTTCTCTTACTTGAAAATCTTTTGAATTGTTGACTTCAATTTATTGTGAATTCTCTAGTCTGTCAGTGGCTGAAAAAGTGTTAATTGGATTATATTTTCTTTCAAGGCAATGCAATTATATTATGCTGACATTTATAGGTTTTTTTTGAATAATGTTTTAGATGTTATTCAAGACTTTTTAACAAAATATTTAATGCAGCTGACTATTTTCTGTTTGTGATTTAATACACGTGTGCAGAACATACTTTCATTCTATATAATATATTATATACTTTTTTCCTGAGATTGTAGGTTGAAATTCTCATAGAAAGAGATGAAAAAGAACTTGAGGAATCGCAATCCAAGTGGTAGCATCAGCTTTTGTAAATGCTGAGTTTTTTCCACAGTAAAGGTACTGGGGAGGCTGTATATATTTTCAACATAAGCTTAAATTAAAAAAGCCTCTTCTTGCCAATTCAGTAGAGTTAGAGGTGAAATGGTTCTAATTTCAACTTTTTATATTACTCAATTTAATGAATACCAAGTGGGGGGAGTATATCAAATGATTTCAGGTGAAATGTGATACATGTATTTATCCATTCGGTTCTCTCCAAATTTGGAATTAAAAACTTTACCACCTATTACATGATTCATAAACCTGTGTTAAAGGAAAGGGCAACTGTTTCATAATCTTCTGATTTTGATGCTTTTGATAATTTGAAAACAGCTGATCATTATAGAAATACTTACAACTAACTAGTTTTTTGTTACCATGGACTTGTTTCTCCATTATGTGATTAATCCTGTGACTAAAAAAGATCCTGAATTCCAGTAAAATGGGTATTTTCTTGGTGCTTCTTAGTTGTAGAATTTAAAGTTTAGTCATACAGGAACATTTTAAAAGTTCTTGAAATTCTATTTTATTGGTTTCTAAGGGGGATAAATGCGGTGGGATAGGGATTACTCTTCAGATATTCAAACAACATCTCAAGGAGTGGCAAGAGGAGCTGTGCAGCCTCTTGCTGTTCATCTCATCAGTGTTAACTATATCTGACTATGCAGTTTTTCTAATCCAGTCCAAAAGATTAGTTGTCCCCAAAAGATCCTGATCAGCTGTGCAGCACTTGGAGTACTCCAGGATGCTCAGTGGCTACAGGGACTCTGCCAGTGATTAAATCTGCTGGGGCTGGGGAGCCACCAGACTTGGTGGAGGAGGAAGAAAGAATGGCACTGAGAAAGGACAGACATCTGGAAATTCTTACTTCTACCGTCAGCTCTCCCTGGTTGTTCTCAGCATAAGAGCAGCCACGTCAGATGAGGTCATTGAAGGCCTTCCAGTCTTGTCAGCCACTAGTGTTTCTAGAGCTGTCAAGTCTCTCTTCTTTTTAAAAGAAACACAATTTCAGAAAGCCCTTGAGAAACAAGTTCTGCTGTACTTCTAAAATAAGTTGCACAAAATTTGGTGGAATTCTTAAATTGATTTTTATTTATATTAACATGTTATTAGCTTTTTCTATTTTTTTTCCAGTGATAACTGCAACCCATGGGCTTTCCTGAAAGGTGAAGTTTTACAGGATATCCTTTAGAAAGTAATATGGATGATGTTGAAGTATTATATTAGCCAATGTGTCTTCACTAGGAACAATTCTGTCAGAAGACAAGAAGTTTTTTTACCACTCTGTTACAGCTCCATTTTCAGTATTAGTTGGCTTCATGTACGGTAGTAAAATACACAGAAAATACACAGGCTTATAAGTGATGGTACTGTTAAAGCAGAACACTAAATTTTGACATACACTGTATGTATGCACCAATGCTCGTGCAGGGGTGGAGTGCATAACATTAATAGGATTAATATGTTTATTTTTGATTAGTTTGTTGGAATAGGCAGATAGTATAGGCATCTTCAGTGAAAAATCACATAAATGCTGGAAAAACAAGAGTTTTATGAGAATTTTTGAATAATCCTAGGTTGAAAGCTACAACAGAAATAAAACATCTACCCCTGGCAGATTTTTTTTTTTGATCTTGGGGTAAATGTAGATTGGATTATAGCAATACAGAATTTTTTTAGAATAGCCTTTTTCATTTTCTGTTGTGAGTTTTTAGGACAGTTTTGGGGTTTATTAATTAGGACAGTAAAAAGAGAAATGCTGAAGTAGATATGGCAATAAAAGTACTGGTTTTTTAAATGTACTTCTGAGTAGTCAATACTACTAGGGCTAGGAATTCTGCGTGTCTGTATTGCTGGATAGTATCTACCACGTTAAGGCCTTAACTGGGGTTTTTGGTTACTCCTGCAGTATAAATAAAGAACTAAGTGAACAGTTCCAATCTGAAAACAGTCATACTGATGAATTGGTTAGAAGGCATTCCCAATGAAGGTTTAATAGTATTTCTCAATTAATAGGTACTTAGCTTTATGTTTATTTACATTGCATGGCTTTGCATAAATCAGTATCTGGGTTATTGTCTTAAATCTTTTTTTCTTTATTAAAGCAAGATTTATCACTTAATGTTGGATTAAATCTTCACTTTGGGGAATTTTTATTGGCCTTGTTGTCAAGCTTTAGGACAAAGGAAATTATGTTGTTTTTTGAGCTTGTTTATGGTGCCAGTTGATACTTGTCTTTCTACTCCATACCAGTGCCCACATTCTAGGTAGATTTTTTAACCTCATAATCTTATACCCTAAAAAAAATTTTTTTCTGCAAAATCTGCACAATAGTCCTAATTGTGTTATTCATCTGTTCCTTCTTGTGAAGGAGTTGATATTACCTAGGATCTGTAACAGACTCCAGGAGTAAGTAGGTATTAGTCTTAAGACTGGGTATCCATCTCTGTGTCTAATCACTGAAAGATCTGTCCTGTTCTTAGTCTTCCCTTACCTGTGTCAGGAATGTTGCAAGTTAATGTTCTAGTAGAAGAGTTACATGATCTGGTTAAAAGCACGTGCTGTGATGTTGTACCTAGAAATTAACAGGAACATTTGGGTTTTAAAGCAGAGAAATACTGCTTTTGGTTGCCTGCAATATTGACAAACTCACTTCTGTATTTTTCATTAAGTATATTCAAATACAATATGTGATCTGTCTTTTTATGGCCTGCCCCAAGATTGTTTGAGAATCTTTAAAAGCTATTTAAATTAGAAAAGGTGTGGTAGAGGGTGCTTTTAAGTATAAAGATTCTTAAATATTACGGTTAGGAAAGAAAACATATTTGGGTTAGATTTAACTTATCTTTGTGGTTCGTCCTGAATAATAGTTTTTCTTGGCAATTTGCAAGTGACAAATTCAGTGAGAAGCATCTTGAACATGTTCCACTTATCTTAATAAAGAGACAAAATTAATGTCCAAGATGTAAAATATGGGAGTGTTCCTGTGTGCTCCTGTGTCTGCTTGGAACAGAGTTTTGTACTTAGTCTACCATTATATTTTAAACTTATTTCTGTTTAATATCTTCAGACCATTTCAAGCACATAAACACATTTAAAATGTAAATAATTAAAGTTCCTTGTTACACTTCATGGGACTTTGTTGTGTTTGATGCTGTAAAAAGTATTAAATTAAAACAAAATACCTTCTGAAGAATATTTTCCATGAGTAAGGTTTTGTATAATGACTTTACATGTAGAACTAAGTCATTTAAGAAAAAACGTGATGTCTGCTTTTTGTGTTGTTTTCCTGTGACCTGAAGATATATTGCAGTATGCTGAAAAAGTATTGCAATTCAAACTCAGATATATAATTTGCAAGTGAAATTTTTCTACAGGAAAGAAAAATTGTACTACAGTGACTCAGAATTTTACAGGGAACTAACCTTTTTCAAGTAATATATTTGAATTAAACTTTTTTCCTCCTGCAAAAAGAGGAGGACTAGTTTTAGACACATTCTGCATGGAACTGCTTATTTATATTATGTGTGTACAATTGTGTTTTGGAATGTCTTCAGTAAAACAATTTTTTCAAATAGAAGTAAACCAGTTTCAATTTCATCTGGAACAATTTTATATTCAAATTTTTAAAAGAACTCTCATAGATTTGATGTTATCTGTAAGAAATACACAGGTATAAAGTCATCAGATAATACACTCTTGTGTTCTGATGTTTTTCCATATGAGAATATTCCATATGAGAATATTTGTTGCAGGAAAGAGAGGACTTGGAAGAGCAGAGTACCTAAAGCCAAGACCCATCCCATAAATTTACAGACTTTTTTCTCTCTCATTCTCACCCCACAATCATGTATTCCTTGGAATTCAAGTCCATATTTGCTTTCTTCCAGTCCCTTTGTTCTTTTTTTCTGAGTCATATTTCTGAATTTTTTGTAGAAGAAGAACTGCTGAGATAAGAGAACACACCAGCTAACCAAAACTACTGTTTGTCACCCTTGCAATTTCTTCAGCAGCCTTCAGAGTCCTGAAAAATTCTTGTTTGAGAAGTGTTATAAGTTTTTCTCAGTTATGCAGGGGTTCCCTGGCTGAGTTGGGAAAGAGCTTGTCAGAAGACTTCATTCTCTTCCTTATCTCATCTTCTTGAAGGAAAGGTAGATCTTCATTGGCACCATCTTCAAGCTGCTCAAACTGCTTTGAGAATGGTGGTTAACTCTCCTTAAATGCTGCAGCCTGGCTTAAATTCCCATTTGATGTTTGCAGCTGGTTACTGAGTGTAGTCTTTCAGCTTCCAATACTGGAAATATTTTTTTTCCTTAGTCCTTCCATATGTAAATAGCAATTCCATTCTCTTGTTTCCCTTTTCAGTTTCATGATTGTAGAAGCCTTCTAAGGGGCAGTTGAAGGAAAAGATCTCCCAGAGAGCCATCTAGCAAGATGACTTGGTTATTTGATATGAACAAAGACAGCTGAAATATATAACTGAAGCACATTTTGCAAGAGAAAAGGGATACTGTGGTCAGTGGAAGAATTTTGAGTAACTGGCAGTCCAAAATTTTTCTGCTTTGGAAATCATGAGTCCATATTTAATTCCTTAAATTAGTAACAAATTATTCTTGGGATTGATTTATTGCACTGAGATCTGATATAGTGGCATATGCAAGGTCACATCTAGTAGACTAGGGACAGCTGTGTTAGGTCAGTGGCCCTCTCATTCCTACTTCATCTCTTTTTAGGTTAACTATGGCAATTCATCATATTTGGCATGAAGTTGCCAGCATTAAAGAAATGTCAGTCCTGTCATAAGACTGTCCCCCTGTGGCACACTGGGTGTCGATACAGAAATGATGATTAAGCTTCAAGTGTGTGGAGTCTAGTCTGAGAACATCTCTTCCAGAAACCACTTGAGAACTCTCCACCACATGTCCCACCACTCCAGATTTACTGACCTTTGTTTCTTAAAGGGTTAGACATATAGCAGAATGTGTGTATAAGGTTATGCACATGTGTGCACAGACATTATGTTTAGAGTTTTTTTTGAGAAAGGAAACATCGTAATGTCTGAAAAATGTACTCAACCACTTGGGCTTTTTTCAGGGCCAAAGATGTTAGCTCTGTTGTTTAATGATGATTATTATAAGTCTAATTTAAGAGCTTGCACAGACAATTGCTGGAACTCTTCAGGCATTAGCCAGAGACTGGCATGTACTCACCCTTTGTCAGGTGTAAATTCAGTGTATGCAAGTGATGCAGTTGCTAACCTCCAGCGTGCCTGCTATTAGATATTTTTCACTTACCTAATGTTTGCCTAGAGTCTAAAATCTGTGTGTGGTTCTGTTTTCAGATATTCTGATCTATAATGTACCTTAAAAGTCACCATTAACACCTAAATCATACCTGTTTCATCTGCTTGGTAACTGTGTTTTCATGTTCAGAATCTCTCACTGTCCTCCTTTCTATTAAAGAAGGCAGCTAAGTGGGAAATTTAGGACTCTGGTTTTACCAGAGGAACCTCTGTCATTTTATAGAAACTTTCATTTTTTTCACTCGAACACAGTTGTATTTCTCTTAGTCGTAAGATTATGTGTGTTTCTAAAATGGTGTATGGAGCATTAGAAGACGAGATGAGATGGGACATCTATACACCAGTCTAATCAATTTATATTGGTGTTAATCTTGACACATACCAAAATTTTATCTTAAAACCTCTGATTAAAATTCTAAAACATCCCTGGTCAATACCACTTGTAATACTTAACTCTCCTTACTACTACAAAGGATTTGATAAGGCAGATTCTTTTCTCTAGATATTTGTGGTACCTAATATGAATTTTCCTTAAGCTTAGTAGTTGTCCTAGACACTATGGATGTGAAAATAGCTAAATAGCTCTCATTTTATGCAGCAATCCTTTGCACATCACATCTCTCTTCCACTTTTTGGTACCTTCTTCAGATAAACTAGTTAAATTTTTTGTTTGTTTCTGTTAAAAAGCTGGTTTATTGTTTTTGTTAAAAAGCTGGAAACCATTTTGTTCTCCATTTTTCTCAGAGCTTTCTTGAAGGATAGAGCCCAAAACTATACACAGTACTGCTGGGTTTCATAGAAATTGTTTGGTTTGCATTGTTCTCTGCCTCCTTGCTTTCCCCAAGTTTACTCATTGAGGTTGAATGATCAGTGACTCATACTGCTCAAAGGCTGTTGTCTTAAGCAAACAGCTTCTGTCTTAAGGACTTCCATGAAGCTCATTTCTACCTTTCTCTTTTGCCTGTACAGTTGACAGGAATGGTGAAATTACATATAATTTTACAAGCAAGAACTAAAGTAGTTAGGCATGCTGTCTTCAAGAAAAAAATTAGGATTAAAAAAAGTGTTAAAAAACCCCCAAAACATGACTAGGAGATGAAAAACATTTAATTGTTACTGTATTTGTAAAAAAGGATTTTTATTATGTATAATGTTTTTTGTCAAAGCGACTACAGTTAAATGTGATTCACAGAAATGAACTGTAGTGTTTTGTTTTCTTCCTTTTCCCTGCTAGTGGGCAAGAAAGAATCAAAGAGCAGGCACGTTTTTGTTATTGCTTTTAGATATGGTCTCTTTGAACAACCTGCTTGCCAGGTTTACTAGGAGTCTTACTTAGATGTCATTATTCATTACCTTTGTTAATAAAATATTGTCAAGTAGTAGCTTGAATCTGTAGGTAAAGTTACACTGATAGCTGAGCTGATTTAACAGCTTGCCAAACAAAAATCTTCCTTTTTTTCACCTGTGTGCCTTCCACCTCCCCTTGTTTAAGCTCCATTCAGAATGCTTGAAGATGCCACACCTCACTAAACTACGAGAATACCAGACCAAAACAAATGGTTTACAACTTAGATAATTTTCTTCCTCGTAGCTGTTACAGTGCTGTGTTTTGGATTCAGTATGAGAATAATGTTGATAACACAGATGTTTTAGTTGTTGCTGAGCAGTGCTTACCCTAAGTAAAGGACTTCTCAGTTTCCCGTGCTCTGCCAGTGAGGAGCTGCACAAGATGCTGGGAGGGAGCATGGCCAGGACAGCTGATCCAAACTGGCCAAAGGGATATTCCACACCACAGAACGTCATACCCAGTATATAAACTGGGGGAGTTGGCCAGGAGGTCCGATAGCTGCTGGGGGGTGAGCTGGGCATTGATCACTGAGTGGTGAGCAACTGTGTTGTGTATCATTCATAGGTTGGGGTTTTTTTGTGTGTGTGGTAATGCCTCTCTTTTTACTTTTATTATTACATTTTACTTTATTTGAATTATTAGACCCTTCCTATTTCAATCCATGGTTTTTTTTCCTTTTTCTGATTCTCTTCCCCATCCCACTGGGAGGGAGGGTAGGGGGAGTGAGTGAATGAACTCTGCATGGTAGGTAGTTGCTGTCTGGGGTTAAACTATGATACCAGGTTATGAACTGGGTCACCTTAGCACAAGGTCCAAAGAGCACTAAAAATGGCTTAGTACTGGGAGACATTATAGAACTAAAAGTTGGCACGTGGAGAGGAAGAAGGGGTTTAGATTTTGAGAAGGATCTGATTCTTTGGTGAAGGTGAGCTAAAAAAAGTGGCTCAACTCCATGTAATGCTACTCCTGGAGAAGTTGAAGTGTGCAATATGTTTTTTAGAAGATAATAGCTGTAGATTCTTCTATGTCCGTGTTGTGTTCCCCATCCCCCCACTCAAAGTTCAATGAATGATATGAGTTGATCTATCCTCTTAAAGGCTAAAAGTATTTTCTTGTGATCTGTTTTTGCCATTTTATTTAACAAAAGGTCTGTATTTTTGTTTTGTTTGAATTGCAGATGCAGTAGCTACCAGAACCCGGAAGATGACCTCACCAAAATCCAAGAAAAGCACGGCAACCAGAAAGAGAGTCCAGAAGTAAATAATAGATGGAGCGACAAATTAAGTTGCTCTGTGGCTCATTTCTGGTTGGTTTTTTTTTTGTAGCACTGGAATCTTTTTCTTTCCTTTTTAAATGATGAATCCTGTAAAAACATGGACTGCTGTTTGTACCTGTTTTTGAAGAATAAATGTTTTATTAAAATATTTGCATAATTTATGTATAGTTAAATACTAATGCAAAATTTTGCCAACTTTTGAAGTGGGGATTCATTTTTATTCTTTATATAATGAATTCTTGTCTTAAAGGCAAACTAAAAGAAAGTGCTTTTTTCTGCTTTATAATGTAGAGATAAAGCCTTATTTAATAGTTTCATTACGGGTACTATATGGGGAACAGCAGTGTTGCATCTGATTTCTCCTACTTTTGAGTAAAGTCTTATTGGAGGTTACTTAGATGTACACTGAGATGAAGTGTGCAACAGCAGAAATATCTTTTAAATGTTTCTCAAGTGTTTGAATAAAAAACAGAACATAAAACAGACATCACATCCTTCCATTCTAGTTTGTATAAAAAGCATTTAAACAATTCTTTGGAAGACAGGTAGTGAATTTTAGCTATTTTTTTGCATACTATTTGTGTTCGTATCACTTTTCTAATTATTCAGAGTTTCTCTGGAAAGAAATAGACCAGACACAGGGCCCAGGGCAAAGAAAAGAACCAACCAAAAACCAATGCTTATTCTCAACAGCCCCCTCAGGTTTTCTTTTTATATTAGTGAAAAGGCTAGAAAAGTTGTAACTGTGAAGAACTTTACACAGTGTCTAGTTCCAATGAAATATTGACTCACATCTGCTTCTCATAACAACATAATGGTTTACCTTTTTTAATAGTTGAGGAGCATATAATCTTCCATATCTTTTGTGAAAGTACTTCCTTGCTTAGCTTTGAGTCTTCAGAGTTGTAAGTCAAAAAATAGTGTTGAATTTCAGTGTGAAATACCGCTACTTTTCATTTAGATACTGCAAAATGCACATAATTAAGGCATGAGCATCATTCTTATCAGGGAGACTACTTTATGAAAGTTTGGTAAACCAAAAGGAATCCATATGAGCCAATGAACATTGTATTTGTGTGGATGTCCAGCTTGCTTGATTGTATAATGTCTGGGTAGCTACTCACTAGAATAAGTATGTTTTAGCATGAAATGTTGAATGAATATGTTTTGTAACAAGGGAATCAATTTTTTTGAAATAAAACTGGAATACCGTATTTAAAAGGTCCTTTCTCTTTTCTGTTGACTGCTGCACAAACTCGTTTTCCTGGGGTATTAGCAAAGCGTAGCTGACAACTTTTAAGCATTCTCTTTGTTTCAGATGTAAAAGTAGGACTGCTAAAGCCTCTCGCATATTTAAAACTCCTCCAATCAAACTATCATTTTAATGACTTCGTTTAATCATTTTGTTCAGAAAGTACGTTACACTATTCTGAATAGCTATTGTCAGGAAGGCATATTATATTCTCTTGCTTGTCACATACTCAAAGTTAATGTCTTCTTCTGTACTTCAGTTGTTTGACATTTTATTTTTTTAGTAACTTATTTACCAGTAAACTTCCTTTCTTTACTTTCCACGTTTTCAAGGAGCATGTTTTATTTTGACACTACCAAAGCCAAATGCAACAAACACAGACATTTCAGGATATCTGAAAAGAATGTTTTGAGGTGCAAATTTCATAAGCCACCCCTACCTCCTTCCACCCCAAAAATGTCCTGGAAAAAGATGTCCTGGCAAGTGTTCTGTGAAGAAAAAAGGTCCTTTCCATTCTAGGTGAATGTTGTTTTAGGGCTTGTCTCTGCTCACAAGACACTGCAAATCTACAGTGTTCATAGGCAAGTTACTGCTGTAACTGCTGTGGTGTTTAAAGCGTGGGATGGTCAGGAGGAGCCAGGGGAAGGCTGTGATAACACCCGCAGTGCTGCCGTATGTATGGCATACAGTGTGTGCTTGCACACACATGTTTTTGCTGCTTTGCAGAGCACTGATGGGGAAATACACCACTTTATGAGAGGTGGAGGGTGTAGTAGGATTTTGTTGACATCCCTGTTTGAAAGTAAAGCCCCTAACACAAAAGAGGCAAAGCTGCCTTTAGACTGCATTTACTGCTCTTGATGACTCCAGTTGTGTGTAAATATTAGAAAACAGCAGGGTCCTGCATTCCAAGAATCACTTGAGCAGTGCCATGAAGACAAGTGTCCTTACTAGTATTGTAGTCATACTCCCAAGCTCTCCTGCTGTTTCTAATCTGTGCGCGCAGCCGTGAAAAAACTGGACTGACATTTACAGGCACAGCAGGGAGACACTTGAGTAGGGAATGTTAAAGACTCCGCTACCTATGTTTCAAAGTGGCCACCATACATGATAAATCTTCACAGGAGAACCAGTCGGCACTTCAGCTGATGCTGTAATGAGGATATTGATAATGAAGCTCAGAATGCTTCTTTTAGTGCTTGAACATTTTGCAGACAGATTGTTTATATTTTTCCCCTAATTTAAAATATCCAGTGAGAGAATCAAATTCAGGATGGGTATAAGATATTTTCTAGGTGGTGCTGATTTGATAATTTTTACAGGATTATTTCCCAATAAATTAATATCAAATAACAGCATAATTCCCAGTACTTTTTGCGGTTAGCATTAGGAAGGGGGTCAGTTGCTTTCCTGAATAGTTTGACAGACTTTTCTCACTGTTTTGTCCCAGTGAGCTGCCAGATTTGGGATCCCATAATACCAGTAATGCAATTAGGTTTTCTGCACGTTGTCTGGTTGACTTCTCAGTTAAGAGTTTCTTTCCCTTTGGGAATAAGACTAGACAGACTGTCATTTGCTATTACTAATTCTGCTTAGCATTATCACTGGAGCTTTTTTGTAATTAGCTATCTTAGTTGGCTCTTAAATTTTAATAGCCAATTGAAGCTACATTTTAGCCAAGTTCCATATCTAAATTGCATTCAGTCCATTAACAAAGTTGGTTAAAAGCCTATTAAAACAAAAGCCAATATATGGTGGTTAGCGCTTACATCTTTGCAGCAGTAGCAGTACCAGCTTCCAATGAATATTCTCAAGAAACAGCACTTCCTTCTACCAAAAGAAGTCACGAAGAATGACCAAGATTTCTTTTGGGAACAAAGGCTGATTATGCAGAATAACTGTAGAAAAAATTAGTAAATTGAAATGTGTCTTTTCTGGAAGAAGGTGGGAGAGATGGCAGGGGGAGATGCAGAAGGGGGCAATTAATGGTTCTGCTCAGATTTGACAGGTTCTGGAAAAGCCAAATAAACAAAGTGATGTTTTTCTCCATTTCAGCTGATCAAAATTATTAGCAAAACCATCTGAAGCACCTTCTGGTGGAATTGTCATCTTGCTGAGTTTAGTTTGTAAAACATCCTGCCAGACATTAAAAAAACTGTAAGCATGCCAGCACATAGGCTCAGAGCACTGCTTCTCTAATTGATAGACCCTATAATTTTCGTTTTTTACTGAAGACCATGGCTGGATACCTCAGCCTCCCGAGTAATTTAATGTAGCATCAGTCTGAATTTTTTTATCACTAGTAGCATTTGTTTAAATTAGATTTTTCTCCTCTTTTCTTTCTTAAGGTGTAGACAGGAGATTAACAGCCTTTGGTTCATAGTGTGACTAATAATGTCTTTTTCTGACTTTTCTGCTTTAAAAAAAATCTTTACTGTTGTGAAGACATCAGATATTAATACTGCTACAGCTTTAATGGACAGTCTACCAGTTGCTGATGAGATGTTTCAAGTGTAGTTTGCAGTGCCCTGTATAGGTGATGATAGGTGAGTATCAGTAGCTTCATCGTCAGAGGTGTGAGGCAAACCCCAGACTGTGTCTGAATAACCAGTATATAGATTCTTTTACTAGCATATATAGTGAGACATCTAAATTAGAGTTTACAGAATGTAACAGTTCCATGTAAAATGAGACACAGAGCTGGTGCTCATTGAACATGAGTGGCTTATAGCTGCACTGTAACATCAAACTGTAAAATCTCTGTGGCAATAAGTGCCAATTCCTTTGCCTCTCATGATGTTTTGGGGGTGCTGGGCTCTTTGCAATGATGTGGTGCTCAGAGGGAAAAGGAATCTGTTCTGTCTGCCTCAGGACTGATTTTCATGATGTCCTATCTCATAGGCAGAGAGAAAGCAGATGTAGTGTTATCAACTTCTTTGGAAAGTCCTAGAGTCCTATTTGGGAATCTCATGGACAGCTTTATGCAACTGTATGCTAACTCACATGCATTTCAGTTTTCTTCACTGGTACTTTCAAGATTCAGCAGCTGAAGATTTAGAAATGCGATTCCATGAATTCTTTGCTTCATTTTAGGCCTTAATCTCTGTGGATGATACCGCTATAGCACCATTCCGCAGTTTAGAAAAATGCGACAGCTCTAGCTGGGTGCTACAAATGGACTAATTTTCTCTGTGTGGATGTACCATGTTTTTAAATATGAAGTCACAAGAGTATTTCACTTGTACTTTCTAGTTGTCTGTGTTTCTTATCCCAACCAAAACCTATCTTCTTCCAGACTGGAGCATACTCTGCTCATGTAGTCTTCCATGCCAGATTTTAATGCCCTTGCATTAGTTCTACTGCGTACAAATACCTGAAGTGTTGTCAAATGGAACTCAAATTCTGCAGCTGCCTAAGCTGCTGACAAGTGAATCCTGACAGCTTTTTCTTTACCATTGTGAATGCTGCAACAAGTCAAAATTGAGGTTTTGCATTCTCTCAAGGGTATCCCAAAGGGTAAAAGAGTTGTGGAGGAACTGTCGTTTGATGGGAGAAAGATTGCCTCCCGTATTTTTACCCCTTGTCTTAGAAGGTCAGCCTTCCAACCCTGCAGACCTTAGCTGCTGTGATGGGCTTTCATAAGTATACTCAAAAGAAAACTGATGAGAACACAATGAGACAGCTGTGAAGTACAGGAGAAGTGACAAGAAAATATAATTTTTTATGAACTTTCCTGAACTAATTCCTTTTGCCAGACCACTCCAGACAGGAAGAAGCTGGCACAGTGGTAATCTGCATCTGAAGCTTCCGAGCGAAGAAAAATACTTCCTTGGCAAATGAAGCAAGAAACACAGAAAATTAAGGATTAATATGTTCATTTATACAGAAGCAGTGAGAACACAATAACATGAAATACAACCAAGGAGGATGCATTTAAAAGACAAAAGAGCCCTGGAAGGGAAGGTACTTAGCTTTGTTCAGAATGCAAACTCTAACATGCAGTTCTGGGAATTGGTGAATAGCACAGCTTAATGTTAAAAGAAATACACTATCTGTATCTTGAAAACCTGAAGGTACTTTCCTTTCTCTTTCTGCCAGGAGAGGAATGGAACACTGGATCTACTTGAATGTAAGTAATCCTCCAGCTAATTTTGTCTATCTGCTGCTAAACCTGAACAAAAAATAGTGTAAGTAATAAACTGAATTCCTTTGACAAGGAATTCCTATCTGAAAACAGATATATCTATAGAAAAAAAATAATGCCTTTATTCTTACATTCTCACTAATCTCTCATTGTGGAGCTGTTTCCTTTGGAATGTGCAAACGTGCAATCCCTAACTCACTTCTAATAATGCTTGGTGATAACCATAGCAGAAAGTAGATAGTAAACAGCACCATATTTAGCAGACAAGGTGATGCTGAAAATATCTGAATGGTTCCTTCTATCACTGACAGCTGATCATCAGTAATTTCTAGTCTTTGCAGTTTTTTAATCAGTGTGGTCAAATATGGAAGGAGGCAGCATTTGAAATTCATCTCTTATCCAGACCAGGTATCACCTGATATACCTCTTTGGAGACTGGCAATTTTTGCCTTTATGATTTTTATACATGAACTGGTTCATGTGTAGCAGCGAGTTGTCTCACAGATTGCTTGTTTGCTCTTCCTCACGTCAAAGCCCTCCTAAAAACAGTTTAAAAATTTTTCATCCATTTCTGGTAAAAGCACAGCCCAAGGTTTTCTCTAAATCTTTCCAGCATACTTTGTTTCTCTGCATGGAAACTATTCTGTTTTGGGGATGGATTCCAGTTGTTTGTATGGAAAGCCTGACCTTTCAGAGGTAGTAGTTCCCAAAATATTGTTGGAAGCCAGTAAGAACTATGGGTAACCAGTATCTCTGAAAATCAAATTTATGTTTTCTAAAAGTGTACCTTTTGCCTGCAAGGAAGATAATGATAT